ATGCAGTAACTGGTCTCTCCCCATCCAGGCCATGCAGTAACTGGTCTCTCCCCATCCAGGCCATGCAGTAACTGGTCTCTCCCCATCCAGGCCATGCAGTACATGGAGCTGATCCCGAGGGAGCTGCAGCCGGTGGCGGGCACAGACGGGGCGCTGCAGCGGCGGCGGCGGCTGGCCAGGCAGCTCCCGCTGTACGACCAGGACCCGGCGCAGTGCCGCGGCCTCGCCGAGGGCGAGCACCGCCTGATGGAGGAGTTTGTGAAGAAGTACAAGGCCGAGGCGCTGGGCGTGGGGGAGGTGGCACTACCCGGCCAGGGCGGCGGCGGGAAGGACGAAGGGAAGCCCCAGGATAAGAGCATCGACTCCAGCAAACCCCCTGAGTCCACCAACGGGGCCCTGGAAAGCGTGGCCGGGCACTACGTGAGTGCTGGGATGGGATGGGATGAGATGGGGGCACGGGGGGATGGTGCTGCTCCGGGCTTGGGGAGCCTTCAGGAATACAGTCAGTCTCAGCTGGATGGGGAAAAGATGGCACCAGCCAGGGTGGTCTGTTCCTTGTCACCATCCTGCTCCCGTGGGCTTCTCCACCCCTGCTGCAGGTGCTCAGCCACATCGTGCTGTGCCTTGGTGCAGCTCTGGGAAGCACCCTGGAGAGACCCTCTGCTCCAGCAAGCCCTGCTGAGCACAAGGGCCTGTCTGACAGCTGTGAAAGGGGGTTTCTCCTCTTCCTCATTGCCCTCCCTCCACAGCAAAGGCCAAGGTGAGGGGATTCTTACTGTAGGAGCTGGTGATTTCAACTTTGGAATCTTGGCAGCTCTGAAAGGTTGGGCATCCCTGGATGATACGGTTTAGTGGGCGTGGTGGTATTCAGTTGAGGATTAAACTGATGAGCTTGGAGGTCTTTTCCAATCTTAATGCTTCTATGGTTCTGTGATGTGAGCCAGTAAGGTACTTGCAATCAGAAGCTGTTTCTCTGTGAGTTAGTGTTTCCAGGTGGGCTTCCAGCCCAGAGTGAGTGGAAAGACCAGAGCTGACAGGAGGTGATAGCTCAGTGCAGTTACCACAGAGCTGTGAACATGGAGACTGTGCTCCCAGGGCTGTAATTATTGCTCTGGGGAGATTTAAACAGCCACCCTGTGTCCCTGGGAATACAAATACATTTCCACAGGGAAATGATTGAGATTCTCCAACACCCTTTTAGATTTATGTTCCCCCAGCACTGTCTGGAGTGGCCTCTGTGGCTGCTGAACAGATGCTTATCATAAAATATGGTGAGGGGAAATATCTTGTCCTGGCCTTTGTGAGAGTGACTTGCAGCAGAGGATTTAAAGCTGAAAAAACAAATGGTGTCCAAGTGTTTTTAAGAGGAGATTTTTTCCTGCCATTCCTGCACTGAGGTTGACATGTTAAGAGCAGTTTTCATTTTTGGTCCATATTGGGTAATGTCTCCCCTCTGCCATGGCCTGTTAATGTGCATCTGACTTTGAGTCCAGTGGCACAGTAAAGGTTTTCACTATTGCAACAAAATACCAAATTGGACAAAGAATTGTAAGCTAAAAAAATAGCCTAAAAAGGATGGTTTCCCTTAAACATTTCAATAAGTCGTCATAGTGATAAAGGTTTACTTAAACTGCGAGTTTGTCCTTTCAAATAAATAAATACATAACTGTGATGTTATTCTCCTTGACTGGAAGCATCATTTTTCTCAAGGCACCAGCTGAAAAATGGAACAGCTTCCAAAACAGTGGCAGATCCAGTGGGATGGCCACAGCGTGCAGCCCAGTGCGTGGCAGAGCCATGGCAGGCCCAGTGTCAATCTCTGTGAAGGCAGCTGAGCTCAGGCAGCTCCTGAACTCTTTTGGGCTGCAGAGAGGGGCCATCACTGCTGTAAGTCTGTCCCACAAGCTGAGTGTTCTCTACCAAGCACAAGATTATCCTTAACCCCCTCAGAAGTGGGGACTCCTCTGGTGTTACAGGTCACTGGGCTGGAATCAAATGGAATCCTGAAGCAAGGGGTCCAAATTAGCAGCTGTTCCCAAAAGCTTGAGGCCAGCAGTGCAGGGAGTGCTCTGGGGAAGGCTGGTGCTGTCTGGGAACTCCTTCCCTGGGAGCTGGCACTGCAGGACAGGAGCTGCTGAAGAGAGCAAGCTGAGAAAAGCTTAGGAGAACAGGACACTTTTTTGGCCAACACCTCTGGTAATTCAGCTAATAAAGTCTTCACTCCTCTCCCTGCACAATGGAGATGTAAAATGAGCACCAATCCCATCTCAAATTGGAAGAGCCCCTTTTATGTAGTGTGTAAATGGCAGGGGATGGAGGTTATATGATGCTTGGAAAAAGCCCTGTGAAGAATTTTTCCCTGTGAATAATTTCCATAGAAAGAAACAGCAAAATAAGTTGGTTTTTTGACAGTTCTTGTTGGCAATAAACTTGAGCTCAGGGTTGGAAACTGCTGTGTTTGTTCTCACTTTAGATCCTGCAAGATAAGCAGAGCTGGGATGGTGGGTCTGTGGCTTCTCGGGGCTGACAGAGCAGAGGCAGCTGCAGGGTTGGGTTCTGGGGCCCCAAGTCACCCAAACTTGGTGCCTCGGGGAGGTGTCGGGGGTGTAGGGAAAAGGCCTCAGTCCCGTATGGTGGGTGCAGAATTCCATCCATGCTGCTGGTGTGCCAGGAGTGCTGCTCTCTGCCAGTCACTCAGTGCTGTTCCTGTTCCTCCAGAGCAGAAATCCCACAGTTTCTGTGCTGTCTCCCCCTTCATTGATGCTGGGCTTGGAGTGCTTGGAGCCTTGGAGCCCTCCGTGGTGGAAGGAGCATTGTCAGCAGACATATCCCCTTTCAGCAGAACAGCCAAGCCAGGAAACATTCTGTCTGTGCTCTTGTGCTGTCTCTTCTTGTCAGGATGGATTTCCTGGGAAAACAGGAGATGCCCATCAGCGCGGTGGAACCGCTCCAAGGGCGGCAGGTGGTTACTGACAGTCCAGCTGGATGAGGGAGGAGGTGATGGCAAAACGTGGGATGCTGGAAGTATTAGTGACCAAACGGAGAAAAGGGGGGGTAGATAATCCCGTGGCCTCCTGCTGTGTATAACAGGAGGGATGAGAGTCAGGAAACACTGTAGATGCAAAGGTCGGTGTCTCAAGCTCTCACCTGTGAGCAGGTGGAAGGGGCTGGTGATGGTGGTGGAAATCTGTCCCCTCCCCTGTCTCTGCCCCATCCCTGATGTCCTCCTGCAGCTCAGGGACTGTTAGTTTACCTTCTACTGAAAAATCTTATTTTCGTGTCTCTTCTTCTTCTCTGGAGCAACATGGTCTAGCAGGAGGTGTCCCTGTCCATGGTAGGGGGTCAGAACTAGGTGATCTTTAAGGTCCCTTCCAACCCAAACCATTCTATGGTCATGATTTCACCCACCTATTAGAAGCTGTTGACTTAAGTCAGGGTGTTTATAAGTGAAGTTGTCACCTGAGCACAGGGACATTCCCAGACCCTGTGCCACCTGGAGCAGGGACAGCACTGTGCCAACGCTCTGGTCAGGCACAGCAGAGTAACCACGACACGTGTGACACACAGGCAGCTCCTGCTGCCTCGGCCAGGCTGCTGCAGGGATTGCTGGTGGAAATCCAGCCATGGCTCTGCTGAAGAGATTCCAGCTGCTACTGAGTTTCTTGTCCGGAGTGACGAAGGCCAGACTCGGAAGCTCTTCCCCTGACCTGGACTATCCAGCTTCAATGGGAACTGGGACAGCATCCTGTCAGCCTCTGAGTGGAGCTTTAGTGCTGGCTCTGCACTAATCACAGGATCGCTCTGTGGGCACACATAAACAGCCAGTGGTTGGTCTTGTGTGTAATGTGCACGGATGCTGTTAATCCTGAGATTAGCCATGGCCAATTCTGGCTCTTTGGCCTGTTAGAATTGGAAAACACTGTTCTGGAACTTGTGGAGTGACATCTGAGTTAGGCACAGATAGAAAACAGTGAGAAAAGACCAAAGTTCCTAATCTCTTTGTAAAATTACATCTTTGATGTGCTGCAGTGCTGCACTGTAGGAATTCTTAACTCTTTCTTGCAGGACCTTGGGATTCCAGTGAAGGTTTTAGCCTGGGGGGGTCCCAAAGGCCAGTCACTTGGCTGGTGGTGGGTAGTGCTGTTCTTACCTGCCCGAGGATATGGCTGGACGAAAGTGAGCAGTAGTCTAGACAAATATATTTATAATTACTTTTAATGTGTATTACAGCTTGACACTGTCCATAGGTAGCACTGGTCCAGGTGTTTGCCCGGGATGTGGAGTGATAGTCCTGGGGATGTTGGCCCTGCTGGCCATGGGTGCCCTATGATGCCCCGTGTTGTCTGTTTTTGAGTGGCACTGTCCTGCTCAGTGCTGTGGGACGTGGAGCGGCAGCACAGCAGGTCCTCCAGGCCATGTAGAAGTGGGAAGCGTTGAGGACACGCTTGGAGATGAGTTTGTTGTGTTTTGCTACCGGGGCTTCTGACCAGCTGTGTGGTTCAGAGCGATGCAGAGAGCACATCTGGGAAGGGAAGATTCCTCCCAAGACCTCCAAAATAAGCTGCTCAGCACCCTGTCTTCCCCCTGTGCCCTGGAGCCAAAGGTGCTTCCTCGTGGCTGCAATCCCACAGGTCTTTGAGCCCCGGGACAGAGGGGTCCCGCAGCCCTCGCTCACTGCCGGCCTCTCTCCGCAGCGCTGCGAGACCTGCAAGCAGGCGGTGCCCGGGGACTGCCCCGTGGTCTACGCGGACCGGGCCGGCTACTCCCGCCAGTGGCACCCGGCCTGCTTCGTGTGCTGCCGCTGCTCCGAGCCCCTCGTCGACCTCATCTACTTCTGGAAGGGCGGGGCCGCCTGGTGCGGGCGCCACTACTGCGAGAGCCTTCGGCCCCGCTGCGCCGGCTGCGACGAGGTACCCGAGCCCTGACCCCCTGTGCCAGAGCCCTGACCCCCTGTGCCAGAGCCCTGACCCCCTGTGCCAGAGCCCTGACCCCCCTGTGCCAGAACCCTGACCCCCCTGTGCCAGAACCCTGACCCCCTGTGCCACAGCCCCAATCCCCCTGTGCCAGAACCCTGATCCCCCTGTGCCAGAGCCCTGACCCCCTGTGCCAGAGCCCTGACCCCCTGTGCCAGAACCCTGACCCCCCTGTGCCAGAACCCTGACCCCCCTGTGCCACAGCCCCGATCCCCCTGTGCCAGAGCAGGGACCACCCAGAGACCCTCTGATCCAACCAGTGCCAGGACAGGGACCAACTAGTCTCTCTCTACCTCTGCCAGTGCTGGGATCCTGGCACAGGCTCAGTCAGGGCTTCTGAGCAGCCTGGTCTACTGGAAGGTGTCCCATGCCCATGGCAAGGGGTTGGAACGAGGTGACCTTTACAGGTCCCTGCCAACCCAAACCATTCTATGGTTCTTTTATGTACCCATTCCCAAAGCCTGGCCCCCGCGTTGACGGGCTTGCCCGGAGGTGTAGGGCTGGCTGTCCCTGCTCCTGGCACACTCCAGCTTGGCGAGAAGGTGGCAATAAGCAGTGGCGTGTCTCTCTGTCTGTGCCATAGATCATCTTCTCGGAGGACTACCAGCAAGCAGAGGGGCTGGCCTGGCACAAGAAGCACTTTGCCTGCCTGGAGTGCGAGACGCCGCTGGTGGGCAAACCCTTTGCCCTGGCCAGCACCAGCCTCCTGTGCACCATCTGCAGCCAGAGCAAGCGCCTCTGAGGGGGGCAGCCGGGGCCCCGCGGGCCCCCCGAGGTCCCACCAGGACTGGGGGCATTGGGCAAGTACAGGAGAAGAAGGTTAAAGAAATCAGAGCCTGAGTATTCACTTGCATCCAGCACAGCCCGGGGCGGGTATTTTCTTGGGGTGCTCTTGGATCTGAAGGGAACCCTTATGCCCATGGGTGGGAGGTGCATGGCATACCTGGCAAGGAAGGGCTGTGCAGTGCTGGTTTTTATTGTCTGTCCAAGCTTCTTATGACTAAGATCTTGCAATAGTATTTTGGAAATAACACATCTCAACAGTAACTTCTGGCATACTAAACCTACGGTCATGGTCAAAACCAAGGGGTGTTTGTGGTTTTTGAAATCCTTACTGGAATTAGGCTGACAGGCTGCTGTGGCTGTGCTAGGGCAGTGGGTTTGAGGAATTTGATCAACCTTCTAAAAGCAAATGGTGTAAAATTGCAGCCACACGCAGCCGTAGCTTTGTCCTCTGCACGTGCAATGGTGTAAAACCAAGAAGTGGGCACACAGGGGGATGGGCTCAGCCCCGTGAGAGGGGCAGGGCACAGCTCTGCCTGGGCAGCAACTGGCTCAGCCCCTGGAGCTGCAGCCATGGAACTGGAACACAAATAATTTTGTGGAAAACCGCTTTCCAGCCTAAGGTGTCCTGGGGGGCAGGGAGGGTGTGTCCCTGAGATGCTACAATGCTACTTTACCCTGCAATACATCAGTGACCCCTCCAAGTACCAGGGAGCTGTACCTTCCCCTCTGAGCCAGCAGCACCTCACCCTGGGCTCTGCCCTGCTTCTTGTCCCACAGCTCTCCCATCCCATCTTGGATCTGATGGGAGTGACACTATCCCAGGATCCAGCACTGAGTCCCTGAGAATTGCATTTGTTCCCTACATCAAGCAATGTCACTGAAAACATTGGCTACTCCAGGCTGGCAGGTGTCTGTGTGCTCAGTGTGTTTTCTTACATTAAAAATCTATATTATTTGCCAGAGAACTGGAGTATTTTCTCACCAGGGTGAGTGTGCAAGGAGCTCACAATGTCTGGGTTCTTTCTGCTCAGAAGACACCGGTTTCTCCTCACAGCCTGCTCCATTCAGAGGGTGTTTGCTTGCCTCTGATCAAATAACCTGGAGATGAGAGCTGGGTGGTGCTGTACCTGCTGCGGGGTTGGAGCAGGGGAGCTGTGGGCCCTCAGCTCCTGCCCCAGGGGTCCCTGCTCTGCTGCTGGGGGGAGCAGGGCAGATCCATCCCTGTGCTGGAGCAGGTGGAGGGCCATACCTGGCTGTGGGTGCAAGAGCCTCTCACGCCTCCTCCAGCCCTGTGCACAGCCACCATGGTGGGTGGCACTCAGGGGAGCCCTGGGGTGTTTGGAGGGAGTCAGTGGGAAGCTGGAGAGGAGCAGGGAGGTCTCAAGGTGCAGAGAGAGGTGAGATCTCCCCCAGCCCCCCATGGGTGGCACATTTGCTGCGTCTGGGATCAACATCTACACATGAGCTCTTTAGAGTCTGCATTTTCCTAAGGGACCTCTGTTCTCATGGAGTCCCTCCTGCCTGGGGAGCTGTGAGGGAAAAGGGGATCCCCTTCCACCACAACCAGGGTTAAAATCCAGCCGAGACTCCCTCTTCTCTCAGTGGAGAGGAGGTGGTTCTGTTCCTGCTGCAGAAGAATGTGCGTGGTGGGAGCTTGGGCAAATGTCAGAGCGGAGGCACGGGGAGGGGACAGGGTTTGGGGGGAGCATTGGAGTGGCCTTTCCTCGTCCCCAGCCCTCACTCCCAGGGACTGCAAGGGCAGGGCTGGGTCATCCCCATCACCCTCCCTGCAGTGGGGTGGTCTCTGACAAGAGAGGTCAAGTTCACTTTATGTACAAGAAAAGACTCCAGGGAGACCTTCCAGAACCTCAAGGGTGTCCAAGAGAGCTGAGGAGGGACTTTGGACAAGGGAGAGCGGCAGCCCACTGTAGCATGTTCTAAGTTTTGATTTTGTGATCTAGAAATTGTAATTCTTCTCTGAAGTCCCTTTTCCAGCACACACTTGCTTCAGGCTTATGGCACCTGCTAAAGCCTTGCAGGTATTTCTGCAGCTCATAAAATACTGTCTGCTAAAAAATGTACTGCAATTAAACAGCTAAACAAAATCCTATGCCTCTCCAGTGTCGGGAGCAAAAGCATGAAATTAATGCATCTAACAGCTCAAAACATATGGCAGCCTTTAGTGTTGATTTAAGGACTGAAATTCAGTGCAGGCATGAGAAGATCCTCGCCCCAGTGAGGACATTCACTGTGTTTTATCACCCAAAGCGGAGGCAGCAGCTCCTGGAGGCAGGTCAGGGGCTCTGGGGTTCAGGAAAATTGAATTTACAGGGATGTGGTGCTCCCCCACAGAGTCACAAGCAGCACGTGGGGGATGTGTGGGTCCCACACAGACGGTGCCAGTTGGGGCAGTCCATGAGAGCTGAGCTGGTGAACTGAGCTTCTCACCTCATGGGATTTGTTACTGATCCAGCTCTTCCATGATAGCAGAGGGATAAATTGTCCAGCAGTCAGTTCAGCCCCACATGCCTCAGGAAATGACTGCAGTGTTCTAATTTATGGGGCTGCAAAGGACAAACCCTTCACGTCCCATCGATGGCCAGGGGGGCGAGCACACGGACTTGGTGCCTCCTGATGAACAATCAGCTCCAGTTCGAGCTCACGGGTTCTGTGGAGTTGTTCTAAACATGATTGACAATATGTGAAAATGTTCCTAAAGCTTTAAATAAAGTATTTCTGGATGCAAAAGTTCTTCACCTGCTCCCCCAGGTGACAGGGTGGGAGAGAGGGAGGGCAGAGCCTCCCCACAGAGAGAAATAACATTGGCTGGGCAGAAACCACATTTCAGCAAAGTTTTGCAAACTGAAGTTTTTCAGAGCTTAACTGCTCTGAGTCTGCAAATATTTGCAGTGCTGTCTTATTTGTGGTCCGCTTTTTTTTTAAGAAATACTTGAGGCAGCAGAAGGGCCTGTCTGTCTGATGTGGAAGATTTCACCAGTGGAGAGGCAGAGGCTGTTTAAGGATAGCAGCTCTGTGCAGGTCACCTTCCTCCTATTGAGTTCCCCACAGCATCCCCCCGGCACTGGGATTATCCCCCCCTGTCCACAGCATCCCCTTCAACACTTGGATCATCCCCACCCAGGGCCAGGTGTCCCCTGGGACCAGAGGAGGGGGTGGCCCTGGCTGTAGGGACATTGCTGGGACCAGAGGAGGGGGTGGCCCTGGCTGTAGGGACATTGCTGTGCCCTGCACATGAGCACAGGGAGCCTGACCTGCTGAGGTGGGGAGGAAAACCACTGGGAAATGAGCAGTGGATGGAGTGATGCTGTCACACACCCCAGAGAGAGCCCTTCAGTGGCTGCTGGGTCAGTATGTATTTGTAATATCCAGGCCAAGGCAAACCATAAAACTTGAAATTAAATTCCCTGTGACAGGGGGACAGTAACTGACTGTGAAAGAGCTGCCACTCCAAGGCCAGGGGTCCATGAACCCACCAGAGGAAGCTGGTTGGCATCTCACAGCAAGGCTCCCTCCCACCACTGCCCTGCACAGGTCTCTCCAGACAGAGACAGAAAGGAGGGAGGTTGGGAGGCATTTAACAGGTTTCCCTGATCTATGGAAAACACCTGGGCACTGAGATTTATGTATTTATGGGCCCTGGACCCATGTGGAAGGAACCCTGTCCTCAGGGTCAGTGTATGTGAGATAGGATCTGGGGGCACAGATGGTGTGAGGGGCCCAGGGCCAGTTCTATACCCCCTGTGCTTCTGGGACTGTGCAGGAAAGGTAGGAAAATCCTTAAAAGAGGGGCAAAATTACATGTCTGGCCTTTCCCTGCAGTGCATGGCTTTGAGAGCAGAGCCCCAGGGGTGAAGGTTGGCACTGATAGTGATTGGGCTGTTTTGCACCATTCCAGGTAAGAACAGTGATCAATATTCCCCTTTACCTTTTTTTTCCAAAAAACCCTGTTCGCTTGGGTACCTCTGCAATGAATTGACTTGGTCTTGACTTACTGGAATTGATGGATTCTTCTTATTTACCCCAGTGGTAACAAACAGCCACAGAGAAGCTGCTGATCCTGGGTTTAACAGTAAGAACCTGATCCCCAGGTGGAAGACAATTGCCTTAAAGAGAAACTTTTAAGGGGTTTTAATAGTGCAGTTAATTCTTAAATGTGATTTCAGATACCTATAACTAATAAACCTCAAAATTCAGTGGCTGCAGGTAAGAAAAACATAAACCAAAGGCAGAGTGAGGTGGCTATTTAAACACTACAATAAAACTTACTTTAAAGACCCAGAGAGAAAAATTTAGAGGAGAAAAAACAAGTATTCAAGAAGTGTTGGTGTGTTTCAGTGGAAACTCTTCCAGAGACTTGCAGCAGCAGCTGCTTTAGGCTGAGCTAAAGAAAGCTCGTCTGGCTGTGTTATTCTGTAAAAAGCCAGGTTAATTATCGCTCTAGAATCTAATCTGAACTTTTAGTTAAACTCCCCTTCTTCAGCCACATCACCAAATAAGTAAACCTCTCCACAGAGAGGGGTTTGTGGATTGTTGCCTGACTCCAGGAGCTGATGCAGGTGAGGATTCCCAGCAGCCCCGAGGCTCAGGGCTCATCCCACAGTGCTTCCCTGCAGGAATGATTGATGTTCTTGCATGTCCTTGCACTGCAGGGAGTTGTAATAAAGTAAGTGGGTGTCCCTGCCCATGGCAGGAGTTTGGAGTGATCTCCAGGGTCCTGTCCAACCCAAACCATTCCATGACTCTGATAAAGAGAAGTGAAGGGCACCAGTTTTGTCTGCCTGGGAAGTGAAGAACCTTCTGTAGAAGTCACAATGGACAGTGTTCAAATAACCCCTGTAGTTGGTTAAGCAGGTTCCAGGAACAAGGGGAAATATATTTAGTGCGGCTCCAAGAAAGGTCTGATGCAAGGGCAGACCCCGAGAGCTGCCCTGTGTCAGCCCCGGAGCCAGCTCACCCTGTGACAGGGGGGTCTGAGGAGTGGCCGTGGAAGCCCTCAGGAAGAGACCTGGTCTCGTAAAATCACCTCTGTCCCGGGGGCTGTCCTGCCTGCTCTCTCCCAGCCTTTTCTTTCGGAGAGTTTACAGCCAAGTCCTGCGTTTGAAGAGGTGTCACAGAGCTCCGGCAGCTGGCGGCGGCCGGTGGTGTTCCGGATGCTGCTGTGCCAAGGAAACACCTCCACATCCTGCGGGCAGAGTCAGTGTTTGGACAGTGTTAAAATATAACCCGCGGTCCTGAGCTCAGCTGGACGCCCTGGCTGTGCCCCAGCCCCTGCCAGCCTGCGAGGCACTGCCGGGCTCGGGGCTCGGGGCTGGCACCGGCACCCGGGAGCTCAACAGAGCACACACCAGGATCTGTGCAAGCAGTGCCTGAGCAGGGGCTGCAGGAACGGGCACGACTGAGGGCTGGGAAGAAAAACAATTAAGCTGGTCAGGCAAAATATTAGGAAAGAGGCTCTGCAAATATTGGGGTTTTTCTCTCTGGAAAGTAAAGAAGGAGCCTGAGGCTGGGAACTGTGCTCTGAATATTCATGGGGCTCTGCTGGCCCTCAGGCAGTGCTGGCTTGCAGGAGGGTAAGGAAAGCCTCAGCTGTTCAGCTCAGGTCAGTCTGTCATTCCCCACAGTAGCACACTATGAAAAAGGCTGGAAAAGTCTGAATGTGATGATCAAGGTGTATCAGTCCTGATAACACAGAGTGAAATCAGGCTGGACTCCCTTGTGTGCCCGAGG